CTCTCACACTGTGTGTTGTGTTTGTGTAGGACCCTCTCACACTGTGTGCTGTGTTTGTGTAGGACCCTCTCACACTGTGTGTTGTGTTTGTGTAGGACCCTCTCACACTGTGTTTGTGTAGGACCCTCTCACACTGTGTGTTGTGTTTGTGTAGGACCCTCTCACCTGCAGCAGGTGGTACTCAGGAGGTCCAGCTGGAAGGGATCTAAGGAGTCTCTGGCTCCCAGACTCGGCCCTCTGATGGCAGAGGGACTGATGTACCGCTCAGACAGTCCTGGACCAGGCCCAGTCTACCCACAGGGCCTCCCTGGTCCTGGTCCTGGTCCTGGTCAGAGGTTGAACCCTCCCCTGCCTCCTCAGATACGTAGCGTTACACCTCCTCCAGGCCGTGGCTCCGGACCTCCTGCTCCCTCCTGGGACAACAACCCATCAAACAAGCGCTTCTCTGGAAATCTGGACTTTCTGGGCCCACGCTGTTCTCCTGTTCCTCAGGGAGCTCGGCCTGATGGGTACCCAAACCCACCCCCTCAGAGTCAGCGTGGGATCAGTCCAGGACCTGGAGCCCACCAGCCCATCATCATGCAAAGTTCTGGTGGGAGTAAATTCACCTTCCCTTCCAGCTGGTCTCAGAACGGTTCTCCTCAGCAGGATTACCTGCAGGGGGGCAGCAGACAGCCCCCTCCTCCTTACCCTGTGACCCAGAGCAGCCGGCTCAGTCCCACGGAGCAGCAGGCCTCCTCTCCTTCTTATCTGAACGGAGGCAACATGCTGGTTCCAAACCGCAACAGTCACAACCTGGACATGTTCAACCTGGCTCTGTCTCAGTCCTGGTCCCAGACTCCTCTGGCCTCCAATCAGTCCCAGTCTTCATGTGGGACCAGCAGCAACCAGGACCTGTCCCCGTCGTGGCAGCACAACATGGTGGTGCGCTCCAACTCGTTCAACAACAACAACAACCAGCAGCAGCAGAGTGTCAGGACTGCAGCCGGCTCACAGCCCTCTGCCACCACGGTCACTGCTGTGACCCAGGCTCCGGTCCTGCAGCCGGTCAAGAGCACGCGTGTCCAGAAACCTGAACTGCTCACTGCTGTCGCTCCCACACACCCTCCCTGGATGCTCACAGCATCCCCGGCTGTGCCTGCCTACCCTGAGGCCCCGCCTCCATCTGCTCAGATCACTGCAGAGGCTCCCAGCTACCAAGGCCCGCCTCCACCCTACCCCAAACACCTGCTGCAGCAGCAGGCCGCCCCCGGCCCCCCAGCATACGAAGCTGCAACCAGCAGTAAGCCTGGTGCAGGCAGAGAGGAGGCTGCAGAGGAGGAAACCAGCAGCAGCAGTGACCTCCTGAGGGAGAACCCTTCAGAGGCTCCTGACAGCTCCACAGCACCAGAGAAGGACAGGAAACTGATCACAACATCACCTGTTCCTGTTCGACGCAACAAGAAAGACGAGGAGCGGAGAGGAGAGTCCGGTCGAGTCAACTTATACTCCCCTCAGGCCTTCAAGTTCTTCATGGAGCAACATGTGGAGAACATCCTGAAGAACCACCAGCAGAGGATCCGCAGGAGGAAGCAGCTGGAGTGTGAGATGCAGAGGGTGAGAGCATGAAAGAACCTTCCTGTTTCATCTTTTTACACTGCTGTACCTCTCATCTCTTGTTTTATTGTCTTCTTAGCTGTTCTTTCTCTTTTCTTCACTGCTGTCACTAACAGCTTCCCTAAAAGGTAAAAGTATTTCTGCTGTCCAGTTCAGTATTTGTATTTTTACTGCATTGATGAAAGCATGCTGATGAACATGCATGTTGCTCTGTCTCACAGACTGAGGTTCATGGAAACATTTAATCTGATCATCTTATTCTGACACCTGTGTTCACATGTCTGCWGACTTTCATTCACCCGGTGGGACAGCAGCGCTCCAGCTGCGCTGCACCGTGCAGAACTTTTCCTCCTCGCTCTCTTAACAGATGAAAAAGGAGGCAAACAGCAGACGTTGCTTCGCAAAAAATAAAAATAAAAACACGTATTGCTTCATCTGCAGGCTGCAGCTGAACCGAGGAGTAACGGCGTCTCTACCGTTATTAAAAGCTGACACGGGTCGTCCTGAGGCACAGAGGAGCTTTGTTTACGTTTGTAACAGGAAGTAGAGCTGAACGTTTACAACACTGCACATGTCTGGACTTTTATTCTGAATAAAACTCTGGTGCTTGTAAACACTTTTCATGATTGGATTATATCCATGTAAACAGTACATTCAGATTATTTAATCTGAATACATTTCAATCCAATTAAAACATTTTGTGCATGTAAACATAGCTGGTGATGATTCAGACTACTTCCTGGGGTTTCTGCTGCTGTTAGCTCCAGGTGTGTTGTGAGGAACTTAAACACAGGACAGTGTTGAGTTGCCATGACAATAGAAATAAATTAATGGAGCAGTTTCCTGTTTTTGGAGAATCAAATAAAAATAAAATAATCATCCATGTCTAATGTAAAGTGGAGTGCTGGGGTCAGACACAACGGATAAATGAAAACTTTTAATTTAAATAGTAAACGTGCAGATTAAAGTGTAAATATTGGCAGAAAGAGTCAGTTTTATTGTTAAAAAAAGTGTTTTCTGATCTTTCATAGCTCTATTTTTCTGTGTGAGCCTAATACTTGACACTAATGAAAGAACTGGACTAATTGTTGTGTGTCTGTGCCTGATTCTGACCTGTGCAGGTTGGGTTATCCTCTGAGGCCCAGGAGCAGATGCGTATGATGCTCTGTCAGAAGGAATCCAACTACATCCGTCTGAAGCGTGCCAAAATGGAGAAATCCATGTTCAAACGGATCAAAACCCTGGGCATCGGAGCCTTCGGTGAGGTGTGCCTGGCCAGGAAGGAGGACACGGGCTCGCTGTACGCCATGAAGACGCTGCGTAAGAAGGACGTGCTGCTGAGGAACCAGGTGGCCCACGTGAAGGCTGAGCGGGACATCCTGGCTGAGGCTGACAACGAGTGGGTGGTACGCCTCTACTACTCCTTCCAGGATAAGGACAACCTGTACTTTGTCATGGAGTACATTCCTGGAGGGGACATGATGAGCCTGCTCATTCGCCTGGGCATCTTTAAAGAAGAGCTGGCCCAGTTTTACATCGCTGAGCTCACCTGTGCTGTGGAGAGTGTCCACAAGATGGGCTTCATCCACCGAGACATCAAGCCTGACAACATCCTGATCGATCGAGATGGACACATCAAGCTGACCGACTTCGGGCTCTGCACCGGCTTCCGCTGGACCCACGACTCCAAGTATTACCAGAGTGGTGAGTTAGTGACAGGCTCTGTGGGGCCAGCTACTGTTAGTGACAGGCTCTGTGGGGCCAGCTACTGTTAGTGACAGGCTCTGTGGGGCCAGCTACTGTTAGTGACAGGCTCTGTGGGGCCAGCTACTGTTAGTGACAGGCTCTGTGGGGCCAGCTACTGTTAGTGACAGGCTCTGTGGGGCCAGCCTCTGTCTGCAGCAGCAGACGTTAGATGAACTGACTGAAAAGAGTTCATGTAAACACTGGGGTCAGCACGGTGCACAACTTCAAAATAAATTACCATTAAAGCCAAATCAGTATAAATAAAATGAATCTGTCAGGTCTAAAATAAATGAACACTGCACCATTTAAAATAAAATGCTAAAAAGTAAGGTTGTTTATTTCTAATCCTTTAAAGTAATAATAAATAAATAAATAACTGTAATGTTTCTGAGGTTTGCACACTGCAGTCATTTAAATAATATAAAACTGTTATTTTATACTGATGCCTTTAAGAACTGAATTGAACCCCCTGTGCTGGGTGGTCCTGCAGGGGACCACGTGAGGCAGGACAGCATGGACTTCAGTAAGGACTGGGAGGACCAGGCCAACTGTCGCTGCTCAGAGCGTCTGAAGCCTCTGGAGAGGAGGAAGGCCCGGCAGCACCAGCGCTGTCTGGCCCACTCACTGGTGGGAACACCCAACTACATCGCACCAGAGGTCCTGCTCAGAACAGGTAGATCTGAGACTACAGGTGTGTGTGTGTGTGTGTGTGTGTGTGTG